ACGGCTGATTGCTCCACCGGCCCCGCGGCGCTGGCCCCAGCCGGAGCAGGGGACACGGGGCGCCGGGTCACAGGCAGCAGAGAGGGAGCTGGTGGGGTGGCTCCGGGAGAAGGTGGAAGCCATTTCTCCTGGCTCTCCAGAGAGATGACAGGTGGTGGATGAGCGAAGGGGAAAAACAGACTGCGGGGGCGAGAGGAAGGGGGGCTTATTGTATACTAAATGAGCCCGTATGTCATGGATCCTGGCACCCCCGACATATGGAACCCAACACAGCTGCTTTGCTTGATGTGTCCAAATAGACGCTGGCTCTCTGCTCCCTCCGGGATGCTGAGCTGACGGCCGGGAAAGCTGCCTCTCCTCTCCCTTCTCCTCCCCCCCGCTGCCTTCCCTGTATGGCTTCGGCATGGGGGCCCCAGGCCAGCACAGATGCCTCTGGCACCCCAGGAGCGGGTCTGGGAAAGGCAGGCACATCTTTCCCCCAGCCCCAGGCAGAGGAAGGGCTGGGGTGGAGCAGGGGAAGGGGAACAAACTTCAGATGGGGAAATGCTGCTGCTGGAAGAGCCGGCAGCCTGGTTGGGAAGCCAGCCAGGCAGGGATGTACAACACATTACCTCTCTCGGGCCTGACAAGCTCGTAATGAGCCATATGACTGAGAAACGGAAACTAAACGAATATGGACAGGCGATGACTGGGAAGAAACAGTCCACATCCCATTTTGAAAGACTGGCAGGGGACAGAGCCCTCGATGTGCACTTGCAGAAGCACTGCCCAAGAAAGAAACACAAGAAACCCCATAACCTTGTATAGAAATGTCTGCGCAGCCCCTCTGAGCCCCCCCCAAACGTATGTGGCTGTTTCTTTGCATGCTTACACACACATGTACACACACACCTACACTTAGACGCACAGACACATTTCCCAGCACATGCATGCAAATGTTGCCAGTCAAAAACTCCTCTGAGAGAATCCCACAGCCATTTATCCACAATAATTTACACCCGGCTCATAAATCTCCCCTAAGTCAGGCATCTCTGTCCGCACACACTCGCCTCTGCACTGTGATATTCTGATTCACTAAATAAAGTAACCTGGGCTTCTTTTTCTGTAAGACACAACCTTTCAGCTGTGTGTGAGAGTATGAGTAAACCACCCAAATCCTAACCCAAAAGTTACTCTTGTGAAGCCCTCAGCCTGGAGATGATGGAAATGCAGATTTCAGGATGGAGATGCTGCTCAAGGCTTTGAGCTTGCAATACGCAGCACTGTCCTTAGAGCACGGCTGAGTTTGGTTTGTGTTTCACTGGCTCTCCCCGCGAGCAGATTCAGAGACAAACCAGCCAGGGACCACGAACCATGACCAACGCAGGAGCACATATCCCAAGTTCCTGAATTAGCCACCTCTGCCGTAGCCACCCACGAGAGCCGTGACTCCTGCACTTTGTTTAACCTTCGCCATTCCCCTCCCGCTTTAATTTCTTTTCCCTTTCCTCACCTGACCCCTTCCTGCAGAGCCGGGACCTCCTTTCTGGTGCTCGGCAGTGGAGGGAGCACTCCCACCCTCCAGAGCAGCGTGTCCATGGGTGAATACCCCCAAAGGCAGCCTGTACCTGGCCGGTGAGCTGCGGCAGCCCTTCGTGGCCAGCTCAAGGCTCGTTACACGGCCGTGTGCCGGCCGTGCCACCGCACTCCTGCTCCCAATGGCACTGCCTCCAGCTGCAGAGGGTCCCTGCAACGGAGCAGAGCTGCTGCCCCAGCCATGAGCACAAGCTCCAGCGAGGCTGCAGCCGGGCCAGAAGAAGGAGGGAAGGTCAGCTCTGGGCTTGGACACATGCCACGCCAGCTCTGGACTTCCAGCTCCCAGGTGAGGAGTTGGAGCGTGGATGTCCAGGATCCCACTCAGGTGTGCAGCTCTGCAACTGTGGAGGGGGAACTGCATCCGAACTCTTGCACTAGCTTCACCGATCTTCTCCTGGCACAGCTGCTCTGAAAACAACAGGCCTGCTCTCTTGTCCTGCGAGCCCAGGTGCTGCCTCATCCGACTGTACTG